TGTATACTAAAATACAAAAGAAAAACCTAAATTTAGCCAAAAAAAAAAAAAAAAAAAAAAAAAAAAATACATTTTTTTTTATAATATAATATATAACAATAGTTAAAACTAAAGAATTAAAACTCGAAGAAAGAGGTGGAATTGTTGCTTTATGGAAAAATGATGTCAAGATTGCCAAAATTGCAAGAAAATGAAATTATCTGATAGTACTATTCGATCGTTTGTTAAGAAATATAAAGAAACAGGTATCATAAAAAGTCTTCCATGTTCTAACCACCCACCTGCAATTATACAACAATATAAATAACTTCTTATCCATAACACAATGAAAAATAAATATGCTTCTCTGCAAAAATTAGCTATTGAATCTGGTCTTGAAGTTTCAACAACAACAGTCCATAATTATTTTCATAAAGATGGAATTAATTCCTATATAGCAACTAAAAAACCATTTATATCAAAAAAAACAAAAAAAAATGATATAATTGGTGCAAAAAACATATTATACCTGAGTAGAATAGAATAATCTGGTCTGATGAATTAAACATAGAAATTGGTCAAAGTTCTTGACATGAATTAATATGGCAAAAAATTGGTAAATGATATAATTCAGATTGTTTAAGGCCTACCTTCAAAAGCAGACAAAAATCAATTATGGTTTGGAACTGTTTTATAGGCAATAAATTAGGACCATTGGCCATTTGCGAGAAAGGAAACTTAAACTCTGATGATTATCTTGAAATCCTTCAAGACAACCTTAAAGAATTCAAAACTGTTATAGAAAATAAATGACATATTATTCTTATTTATCAAAATAATAATGCCAAAATTTATACTAATAAGAAAACTCAAAAATGGAAAGAAAAAAATCAAATTGAATCTTTACTATGGCCAGCCCAATTACTAAATCTTAATCTTATAGAAAACTTGTGAAAAATTCTTAAGGATCGAATTCAACAGCACAAATTATTTCCAAGAATGATACAGCAACTCAAAATGGCCTTATATAAAGAGTGGAATAAATTAGAATCAAATATTTTATCTAATTTATTTAATAGTATACTAAAATGAATTAAAATGGTAATCAAAATAAAGAAAGAATATATTAAATATTAAAGTTAAAGAAAGTTTATATTTTTTTGTATGTATATTAGATAGAACAATAAAGAAATTATTAGATTAATAATAAAATATTAAATATGATTTAATTAAAAAGTTTTATTAAATAAAAAAATTTTTTATTAATCTAAAATATAATAATTTTGAGACCTGTGGATTCATAGCACAGTGGTTAGTGCTCCACAGGTCAAATCACAAGATACCGGTTCAACCCCATGTAAAGGTGGTTGAATAGAATTAATATGATATCTGGCATCATAACCAATTATGTGCTGTTTCTCATGAGAAGCCATTTCACATACCGATCTGGCAGGCGTTAAGATTGTGATCTTCCCATTAAAGGCGTAGTGGTGTGACGATCATCCAGATAGTGTTATGATGATCGTCTATGAAAGGAGCCATAGAATCACACATACATTTGGATGTACAGACTGGGTTGTACTCCATCTTAACCAATCCCAAGCTGCCAATCCCCTTACTGCTGACTGTCGAATAAGGAAACTTTGAAGAAAGCACTGAACCGACACTAACGTCTTGTGCGACATGGCTTACCCAACGGCTTACCATGTATGTAGGAGTTGCGCCCTGCTTGACATTTATGCCTCTAGATTTGGCAGCCTATGCCAATCGGTTTCGAACTGGAGTGTCTACTAGGAGAAAAGGACTTTGGGAGCTTGTTAAGTCATGGCCTATATGGTCCTTAGGAGTCGTGCCCCACTTGGCCACAAGAGCTCCTAGATTTGGTAGCAAGTGCCAACCAGCGGACCAAAAACTGGAGTATTCACTAGGGAGTACATATCCACGTTGGGCCCTTCTGTCACATTAGCTGCATGAGCAAAAAGGTGTGATGTGACAAGTAACCTTATGAAATAGTTAGTAGCATTTACTGTCCTCTCAAAAAAATTGGACCGGTAGGTTAGATGGTTTAAACTAGTGGTAGGACTTCCACCCTCTAAATAGGTCCTCCCAAAAAATATGAACCCATTTCATAAGTGTTATTAGTATTGCTGGGGCAACAAAGTAAATAGGTTAGTATTTAGCTATTGTAATAGCAATAGAGAATATTTGATGTAATTCAATTGATAAAATAAGTCAATAAAAGTTTTGCATCTAATGCCGTTCTACTATAAAAAAATATATATATATAATAATTTTGTAAATCACAAATACTTTTTTGGCTTACTATACTAATATATGAATAATTATTATCGAAGTCAAAAAAATCTTTTCTGGATTCTACAAATAATTTGGATCTTATAATTTACATAATATATTGTAAGAGGCAAAAAAAATAAACGGTCAAGATAATAATAGTCACATGACAAATATTAGCTGAAATATTGTATCATGAAGCATCAATCTGTTTTTCATTAATTGCTCTTTTACTTATGATTGCCAGACATATACAGAGTCTCGTTACAGAAAAGTTGGCCCAACCCAAAAATCTTTCTTTCCTTGTCTCAGACTTTTATTATATGCAGATTTGGTTAGCTCACGCTTTTCTAAGCAAGAGTGCTTCTTCAAATATATCAGCCAGTACTACATATACTGTATGTATGTTTCTTGGAGAATAACATCTGACAGTTGAAGAAACCTTGTGTGGTATTAACACATCTCAGACTTTACCTGCTGTAGAGTTTTATCTTTAATAGAAGAAAAGAATTGAAGAGGAAAGAAAAGAAAATTTCCTAGAAAAGAAGTCTTTAGACAAGGTGGGAAAAAGAAGGAAAGAGTTTTTTATTTTTTCTGTCTCATCTTTATACAAATGATTTTTATCTATATTGTAATACAATTCCAAAAACAATGCATTATATTTGAATTTGCAAAAAAGTAACCTGGCAATAAACTAAATCATTAATAATATATTAATACAAACTACTTTTATTTTTAAAAACAATAAAAACTTTGATTCAAAATATTTTTAATAACTTATTTAGTTTTGATTTCCTGAATATAAATCTTTGTATAAAAAATTTTATACTATTTACAAAATATTTAAAAATTTTAAATGAACTTCAAAATAATTTTTCAATTTAATCTATTAATAAATCTGGATTTTCAGAAACAAAAACATAACTGAAGAAAAAGAAATTTAGATAATTTTAAAAAAACAATTAAATACTTTTATCAAACAAGTTCAAAAAAAAACTATCTTAACAAACAAACTCTCTAACTGAAACCTAAACAAGCTTATTAATATTGTTACTAACCTTTTTTCTGAAAATCTATTAGTCTTTCAAAATAGAATAAATTATTAAGAAGACATTAGCCCTCCAATAATAGATAATTCTTTTTGTTTTCTTTTTATAAAAAGATTTTTTTCTCAAAATATATTTATATGGTAATAGGCTAACCTGTATAGCAATATATATCAAAATCTAAATATTAATCATATAATATATTCTTATTTAATTAACAAAGATCATGAGAAATGCCTTACTTAATAAAATAAAAATAATTAATAACCAATAAAAATAATTATTATAGTATTTATAATAAAAATCACAGTTAATTATAAACAGAAGTTACTACATAGATATAAACTTACAATTATTTTTTTTTTGTATCAATCCATATTTTTTTATTTGAAATTTTTTAGTAATATTTTTATATACACTATAAAAATGGCAATATCATATGTCAATTAATTTATTCTTTTGTTTAACATCCAATTTAGTTTGATAATCATGTTAATAATAGCCAAAATCAGCTTTTCAAGATTTTCTCTATTGAAATCAAGTAAATTTACTTTAGTAAAATATAAATTCATTTATTATTTTTTAATTAATAATTTTTATAACAAAAATTTATTGAAACTAAAACATGTAATAATTACGAAAAAAAAGATTTTTTTATATTATAACTTCAACACTTGACCAATGTAATTTATTTTAATCAATAAAAACCATATTGGATTTATTCACGGAAACAATAGTGAGGAATTGGTAAATCCATGCTTAGTTGACTTGGGTGCGACTTTCTTGCGTGACATTTTATGGGAGTGTCAAAAAAGATCTTGTTTAGAATAATGGAAGATGAAAAGAGATATGAAATATAGGTTAAGATACAGTACAGAAGAATGAGAAATCGTTATGTAATATATGTTTGCCACAATATTATTTATTTTTTAAGCAATTTCATTTTTAATATTTTTTACTTATTATTTTTTACTATGTAATAATCGTAGTTAATTAGAATGGATCAAATCAACTCTATTATTATCATTATGCGAACCTGTACCTAATGTTTTCTTTCCTTTGTCAAATAGTTGTTACAAAAAATATAACATATTTCGGAAGCGATCCATCAAATGACTTTATATTGCAGTCGTATCGTAATATTAAATACTCATATGCCTGTTGATAAAGAATAATTTATAAGTTATTATCTTTCTTTAATAAAAAAGAATATATTGTTAATTAAAGCTAATATCGGAAATTCTTTGAGACTTTTACCTCGAAGTACTGGATAAGTCATAAATTTATTTTGCGCAAATATATTTAATTTCAAGTTTTGTAAGTTGTACTTTTTTATGTTTGGCAGTTCATACGTATACAGTATTTTCTAAATGTCTGTGGTACCAGAAGCTCCGGATGTGGTATGCAGGAAAAAAATCAATGTTTTTTATCGTACTTGCAAGTGAATACTATTCATAATTTATATTGCCTTGAAAAAACAAAATTTTATTTGAATCTGAAGTTTATAATATTCATGAAATGTAATTATCGTGCTAAGCCAAGTTTTATTCGACGAAACTCAAATTCATAATGATTTGATAAATTAATAACGTTATTTAAAAGAAAATAAAGTCAAAAGGTTTATTTCACTAAATAATGACATTCAATACTGTATGAAGATTCGCTTTGCTCTTTATAATCAAATTAATATTCTTCTAAATCTCTAGGTCTGCAACAATTGCAACAATCTGGACCTAGATTTGTCTTACATTGTGCATAACCATAATCAGTACCACCAGTGTTTTCGAATGTACCACAACGACCTGCATCTAAACATCCAGCGCACACATAGCAGACATTGTTAATGCATGTTCCTGCAGCAGGAACCACATCGGTATAATGATCAGGAGTTACTAAATAATCGCTGACACAATCCGAGTCATTTACGCAATCGACGCATACACCGTCTACGCAGTATTCATCGGCTTCACACTATAAATTATTAAGGAATTTTTTTTTTTTTTTTTTTAGAAAAAGGACAATTTATAGAATATCGAAAAAAGAAAAATACGCACAGCGTGACCGCAAGTTCCGCAGTTTTGAGTATCAGTATTAGTATCAGCGCACGTACTATCGGTACATTGTGGGCCCTATAAATGTAATTATTTGGATAGTTAGAATGAATGCTAATAATATCAAGAGGATATGAATACGTACACAATTAGTAGTAGTAGTAGTGCATATTTGGCCACGGGGACATTGAGCAATTACTCCGTGCGACAAGACTATATAAAAGTAAGAAAAATCAGACTCTATAAATACATAAATACATTGAAAAATAATTCAGAAAGAACTTTACCGCAAAGAACGTACAGAAGAACGATGAAAAGGTTAATCGATTTAGCGTTCATTTGAAATTTCCTGTATGATGTGAAGAGAGATGGGAAATAGAAACGAAACATCTATGCTTCTTATATAACTTTTTCATGTTACACACACAAATATTATTTTTCAATTCGAGTATATAATTTAAAAACGAACGGTCTCCGTATATTATTTAATATATTAAATTTAAAATTTTTTATAAAGTAATCGAGTATAAGGTGTATACGTGGTATAAAACTGTGAAAAGAGTAACGTGAAAATCAAAATTTTTTAATAGGAATTCGAAAATTTTTTCCATAATATTGAGAATCTTCCACGATCAGTACTTTCCATATATGTGCATATCATATAATAGCATCGTTATTTCCTTTATGGTAGTAGGTATTGTCTCGAATCAGAGTTACTTTCTATATTTATACCATTATATTATAGTTACCTTTAATGGCAATAGCTTTTGCGGGTGAGGTGAGAGACGCAGTATCGCTGCAAAATAATCCTATTAAAGAAAACAGGTACGCAATTTATTCCATAAAATAAATATATTGAAACTTGAGCTTTCTATCTATTATTTTATCTTTTGTGCAGTAATATCTCTATCAAGAAAAGGTTTGAGTTGCACACAATAAAAAAAAATGACTGATCGTAATATTATTGATTATTCGTTCACATTAGGCGATTGATTAGATTGAATATACCAAACTATAAGATATATCAATCTATCTATAGAGGCTAAATTGTTTTTTTTAAAACAATAAGCATTGTTCGGACTTAATTGAATACAGCATTAACTGTCAATAAGATGACTTTTTCGGTAGACATCGTTTATGTATAAATTTCCTTATTATCATATTCCTGCTCTTATATTGACAATAACTAAACTCAAACACATGCCATGTATACCCTGATTTAAAAAGATAACGATATAAATTTTGATAGTAATAGTGACTGAAGACAACCTCTCTGATATCAATTTCGCGGAAATGTTAATTGACGTACACACAATGGGCGGTTTTAAAAAGGCATGTTTCTTTAGGGTATAAGACCAAGGAGGATAATTACTGTACAGATGATAGAAAAAAGCAGATACCATTGTTGTTTACTTTTTATTTTATTACCTATACAGAATATTGTACAGTACAAAGTTACGAAGAACAAATGCATTTAATAAAGTGTACATACGTGCCTTTTGCACGTATAGTGCATTGCCAATTTATTCACGTCTCTAATTTCTTTGTTTGTGCTTTTGCGTTTCTTCTTTTTTTATCACAGGTTACGTGACCGACCCACCCGTTTAGTCTACTACATGTGTAAATCAAGGCCATTCGTTAATTTAGTATTTGGTATTGGATTTGTATTTATTGGAAGTCATTGATAACTAAAAACGACATTTAATCCTTGTTGATTTGTTTAACCAGCACCAGAAAAAAACGAACGCGTACCGTGATTCGCGGTGTATATACCTCTTCCCCTAGAACACCTGCCGGTCTGACAATCAATAAGAATAAAAATTTTTTTACATATACTGTATATCGATTGAAAGAACGATATGCACCATTGGAATATTTATGAAGGGTTATTATAAACCGCAACTTACTGTAACTTTAGTAAAAAAGCTCAATGGGCAATAACCCAATACGTATTTACATTATTCCCACTACTCTAAATTATGTTGCTGTCTTGGAATTTACTGTATCGCCTTATTTCAACCAATTATATTATTTCTTCAATTATATGTGTTCAATATCTTCATCATTGTTATCCTATTGGACTTCGTTATCAATCATAATTCCTTTAATCGTAATCATCATCTTCATAGCTCTTTGGTTTTCCAGTTTCATGTGACTTATATCATTCCTAAAATAGCAATTACAGAATGCCAAAATACATGTTACAAATCACTAAGCACGCCTCTGAGCATTCACATTCATCTAAGGTGATCCCATGAAAATACAAATATTTTCCCGACCCTATTTTTAAATGTGACGGGTGATCGGCGAGTCTGTCACTAATAGAGAGTAGAATCCGCGTATCCGTCGCTTTGACTTACCGAATTACCCTTGCTTTATTCGATACTTTTCTTCAGATTTTATATATGTTTTGACAGACATTTAGATGAAAAGTAAAGGAAAAAGATCAGGATCGATGGAACTTTGGGAGCTATTAAAGGTAGAGACGAGTAATGGTGACGCGATCTGCACTGACAACGATCCCCAAGTAGTATCGCGAGTTCTAACTTGGACAAAACACGTCG